TGGATAGGTGGTCGCTATATCCAGTATCTTTAACATGTAAATTGCGAAGGGACTGTACTAAGGTGGTCGCTCTGCACAGGTGGTCTTTAACACAGGTTTGACTGTATTGTATCTTGGGTGTAACTTAATCATTTTCATTTTCATACCAGATGGTCTAGGAGAGAAGAAAGTGACTTCTATCGCACAGTGTCTGCCTTTGGGGTGGAGTACGATCCAGAAACTAAAATTTACAAGTGGGATAATTTCAGAAGAGTTGCCAGGTTGGACAAGAAAACCAATGAAAAGTTACAAGAGTATTACGAGAATTTCCGTGCTATGTGTTTAAGGGTTTCAAGTAGAAACAAGCATAAAGAAGGGGAAGAAGATTCCATGGATCTCGGTAATATAACCTTTCACCACTTTGATTTTAGTGCACAAGGAAGCGTCCTTCATTAATTTATCTTGAATTCTCGGGAATGTTACTAAATGGGGTTGGTTGAAAAAGGATCATTTGGTGCAATTGTGTACTATGGTTTTCTAATTGCTATTTTATAAAACTGTAAATATATTAAAGTTTTGGGTTTAGACGTGCATTTGTTGAATTGTCCAGTTTGCCTGGCATTAACCATTTAAGTGTCGTCCACAAATAGTTCTGTTTATAGTCTCTTTTCTGCTGAAAATGCTAATGACAAATTTCAATTCTTTGGATCAAAGAGTAGAAGCAATGACACATTTTGTCTGTTTGGTCCAAAATCAAGATTGAATTCAGAGAACTTTAGAGCAGAAAACAAATTTTGTGCTCAAAGGGTTAAAGATGGATAAATTATTATGTTTGTACTGCGGATGGGGGAACCACTATAGCTTACTTATACAGGATGCTTTATTTAGAAAGTGATTGAACAATGACTGTTACTTTCTTTGTGAGATTCTTAGCATGATTTTAAAAATAGAATAATAGAAAATTATTGTGAATTTGCAAGATCCATTGAATAAATGATTTGTTTAAATTAATAGTTTTACTTTATTGTGCCATTTCTTGCATTGCAGGAGAAGACTATGTAAATTCATTGTCTGTAGAACAGATCTCTGAAGAAAGATCCAACAAATGTATGCAGAGGATTGAACTTTTGTTGAAAGTCCGCAATGAGATAATACCACATCCAGAGCTTGATGATAGATTACAACTATGTAAATCTAGTATGGAATTACCTGAGTGGTGGGAGCCTGGTAAACATGATAAAGATATGCTTCTTGGGGTTGCCAAGTAAGTCTCTAAATTCTTACATGCACCCTCTATCCCACCTCCTCTGTCTCCATTGGGTTCAAAATTAAATTAACAACTAAATTATAAACGAAAAATTGATGACACTCAAAAGATAAAGAAAATCAAAGTACGAATTGCTACAAGTGGCTGATTTTATCTCAATTTCCTTTCATCTTGTTTTGTCCTCTTCAGAATTAGTCACAACTAGTAACTTAGGTTTTGGGGTCCTTTCAGCATAATTTCTCAGACACATCTTCACTGATCAAGTTGAGAGTTGATGTGTCCAACCAGTTTCTCCTGTAGAAAGACAAGACATAATTGTGTGAATATTTGTTGTAATCAGTTTCAATGTCTATGTAGATTTCTTTAATACTGGAATGCACTGTATGTGGACAGGGCAACTTATTTAAGATTTCTATGGCCATGTGACGTTAATCTGTTGTTCTTGAAGTGATGTAAACTGACATGTTGAATAACTGATCTACATGAATTGAATCATGCTTCACCAACGCTGATCAAGAACAGTGTATGGAAACTATATATACATGTCCAGCTGTTATCAAGGCAGATGTTGCAACCTTGCCATTATGATTGTGATCTTTTTTTTAGGTATGGCATCAACAGAACTGAATCACAACATCATATGATGAATGATCCCGATTTGTCATTTCATTTACTGAAGGAAAAATATTCTCAGGCAATGATTCCATCTGATCCGCCTGCAAGCATGGCAACACCTTATCAGACGACAACATCTAACAGCCAGGATGTATCAGTAAAACAAGAAGAACATGCCTTGGATCTCTCTGTTGATAGTAAATTTAAAGAAGAAATCAAAACTGAACCCGGTTCTACATTTGTAGGCGATGATTCAAAAAGTGTTAAGAAAGAGGCTGAATCTTGTAGTGTGAAAGTAGAGAAGCAATCTGAAACCGAAGGTGATGACGATGATGATGACGATGTTGGTGTGAAAAGTGAGCCAGAGGAAAAAAAGGAAGATACAGATGATGTGAAGTTAGAAAGAGAGATGACTCTGCAGAGGAAGATTCTAACCTCTCCCTTTTGAGACAAGAATTGACAAAACCATCTGTTGTTGCAGGATTACATGCGTTACAAGATGAAAATAGTCAGGATAGTTTCACTCATGACACTGGTAGTCAACAAACTGTTGCTATGTTACTGAATCCAAGTCTTCCTCCAATCATTAGATGGCCTAAGGTTAGTTTAAATAGTATGATCAATATTTTATGTGTATGTTCAGTCACTATGTGCCATCTTTAATTTGGTAAGTGACAGGTTTCTGTAATAGGAATTTTAAAAAAAGTGGCATGACAATGGATAAACTGTTTCTTGAAATGATGACAGATGATACTTTAAATACTGATCCACTGTATGACCTGAAACTGCTTCACCAACGCTGATTAAGAAATCTGTTTATCCTTTCCTATTTACATTAAGCTCCGCTTCATGTTTGATTCAAGTCCCATGCAAATACATTGAAAACTGTGGCACTTTAATATGTAATTATAAAGAGGTTGCAATTTTTTTTGACACAAATTACCTTCTCATGTAAAACTAACATATTTGCATGTATTGTATGAGACATCATTACTGTGAGCCCAAATAAGATTCATACATGGAGTTAGTTCCTAAGAGGGATTTTTTTTTATCTAATGTTATGAAAACAAGTTGCTACTTGATATTGGACAAGTTAATTTTTGCCCAGGTACATACTATGGCTAAGGTGTCTGTTTTCGTATTACATCATTGTTGTGACTTTACAAAGAAAGTTGTAAATTATCTGTACGAATCATCTTTGTGCTCACTGTAAATTTACTTATTTTTACCTTAGATGCACCTGTCATTTTGCTACTGCTGAAAATTATAAATTTGTTGAAAATGTACCACTGTAAACTACTTTGCGAGTGAAAGTGCCCTTTATTCATCAAATTGCAAACGTCTAAAAATTTGCCGTCCTATTTAAATTTGTTTGATAATGTGGTTGTTTTATGTCTGAACAGGATAAAGTGATTGTGCATAGATTGGAACAAATTATCCATTGTGTTGAGAATAATGAGTGGCCAGTGAGAAGAGGACATGTGCATCACCAGGAACTGTTACAGCATTCATTTGACTCCTCATACTTAAGTCTTAATCCTGACTCACAAGATGCGTCAGATTTAAGCTTACTTGGAGATTTTGAATCTAAGGTAAAGAAGAGAGGGGACAACCACCAACAATTCAAGGTTCATGTCGCTGATGTAAGTGTTGTGACTCCTCCCCCTCACCTGCCTTCCTTCTGCTTACTAATATACCTGTTGTGCTTTGATACCTTGTAGAAATTATTACTCAATTTGTAGTTATTCTGCTAGAAGTACCAATTAACAATGTCCATGTTCTCCCCAGAAGTTATTCAAGCATCATGCTTGGTTTTTTTATACGTAAGAATAAATTAACAAAATATATGAACGGAATTAACATATCACAATGCTTGAACATTTTCTTGGTGAGAAAAACTGAATGTAGATCTTGCGTTTCCTGTATTGCATGGCTTAATCTTAGTGTATATACATCATTCCCCTGTCCTTCATTTCGTGTTGTGTTCCATCTTTCCCCTTTTGTGTTTGTCCATGTTCTGGTTGACTTGACCTGGTTGGTGTGGTGGTTCCTCTTAAAGTATTTTTTTTTTAAATTCAATTTCAATACTGTGACATGGGGAATCATTCCACTATTCTGTGGTTTAATGGGGATTGTGGGATGCCTGCAACATTCAATAATTCATATTTCGCTATAAACCACAGAATTTTAATTTGACATTGGCAATGTTCCTAGGATTATTAGTGTTGCCGGGCAAACTGTTAAGGGGATGATATTTTAATGCTCTTGCTGTGAAATTGTTTGCTTGTTTCTGTTGATGTAATGAAGGTGAATAGTTCCTAAAACATGTACCTGCATTTTGATAATTTCATATTCCTTCTTTATAATTTATATATAATTGTTTGTTCATTTGTTTGTATATTTTCGGATGAGGCGTAACTTTACATGTGTATCTGAACGTTTTACACTAAACATGCTGTGTGTCAATCTTTGTGTACTGGTTTAGCAGCATCCGTATGCTGCCTAACGTTAGAGTAATTGGTTTTTGTCTACAGGAAAGTGGAGGTTTAAAAATGACTATACAAAAGAAGCGCAAGAGAAAGAAGAAAGCACTGATAGAGGCTGAAAGAGGTATCCATGTAACTGGTCTCGTGTTTTTGTGTATTAAAATATTGATAAGTTGCATTCAAGTGCATATGATGTGAATTTATAAATCCAATTTAAAGTACTGAAGTGTGATAGTCATGCCTGTTAGACAACCTTTTGCTGATGCACTTAAAATTAAAAAGGCTATTTTAGAAATTTGCCTCAGTTTCAAGCATACACACACACACACACTGATAACTGTTACATTTTTTCGCACACAGCTGCTAAATTGGCAGGGCTACTTGGTGGTAAACCTATGCTTGGATTCATGCAATCAGATGGTAATCTTTCTGATGACAGTTCATTACCAAGTCTTCCTGATTTACCGCAATTGACCAAACTACCGCTGGATTCTCTAGATTCATCTCCTCTATCGCATGATAGTATGGACCAAACGGTAGAAGGATTAGCTAATGGTACTGCTCCTATCACCTCACATATGATTGGACTACTACATAATCATGAAATAAAACCTGGAAAAAGGAAAAAACATCATGGAGAAAGAGAAGACAAAAAAAGGAAACGTGAAGTAAGTTTTTCATTCTACTACTATGCAAAAATTACTTGTACAATGAAATATATACAGGTTAAAATTATGACTTTGCACTTTCAATCCTAAAATCGGGACCACAATCATTGTCACTGTGGGGTACTGTGTGGTAAAAATCATATACAGAATACTCTCAATTCTTGGTTTTACCCTTGTAACTGCTTTATTTTGAGGATGAAAATTAATATGTTTGTAAATATGGCTGGATATTGTGAGATTCTGAGCAAAGGAATTGTTTAAATACGACTAAAAACAGTGAATATTTGCATCATAGGAATGTTCTACACTTAAACACAATAAATTCTTATGTGATAATAAGTGTATAATTTACTATCAGATTTGTGAACACCTCCATCAAATATAGTACTGTCGATGTGCAAATCTCCCAATGGTTGAATACCACTAGGAATCCTGAATATTGCAATATTCCAAGAGAAATTGATGGGAAGATGCCTTTTTAATGATCAGTCTATTTTGGCGCCCACTTATTTTTAGGCTTCACATAATACAATTTTTTTCCATCATCAGAAAAAGACTGATGATAAACATAAAAGAAAAAAGAAAAAGCACAAAATGGATGAAAGTGGCAGATGGTCTCCAAGCAGATTGAATGATGGTAAGTTCATTTGCAGAAGTTTGCTATGAAAATGCTTCCACACTAGTTAGCTTTATTGCTGGTCAATACAGCGAATCTTTGATTCAGTGTCTATCACATGACTTCAAACTGATTTAAACTGAGTTGATACGTTTTACAATAAGAAATGCACCTTGTTGTGAAAATGCAGGGAAAATAATAATTAATCCTATTTTCTGTTCACTGTGAGATCCCATTTTGTACTTGAAATCAAACATAAAAATAAGACAAACAAAAGGTCATAGTACTGAAGTGGCATCAAAACATGTGTAAACAAAAGCGAAAGTATTACCACGCTCAATGTGCATCTCGATGCCATATTCTCTGGATATTGGCATTTTGACATTAAACTATAAAAAAGAAATTCAAGTTCAAAGTCAAATAATTTGATTTTTGTGCAGGCGTTGGGTCTGCGCGTTTAACACTTTACTCATGATCACACATCACAAATGAAAAATTGCTTTTTCGAATAGAATTGTTTTTTCTAAAATGTGCAAATGTCCTTGCTCCATTGTTTCAAGATAAAATGCATGTGTACATTGAAAACAGTCTAAAAGTCAAGACATTCTGATATACAAAGGTTTACCTGTGATATCAAATGTAATATTTAAAAACATTCCCAATACTTTGTGAAATCATGCTCTCAATATACTGGTCGATGTGAAAGTGCATATGATGTGAATTATAAATCCAATTTAAAGTACTAAAGTCGCGTGTAATAATGCGTGCCTGCTAGACAATATTTTGCTGATGCGCTTAAAACCCTGAAATTGGCATTTCATGGTCAGTTAAAGCTTGCACTTTATTACCATTCAGGTCAAAATGTGCAACATTTGGGCAGTATCATAAGTGCATCTCCTCCATTAACCATTCTGTCACTTTTCACGATAAAATTTTTTTTTCAAATCATTTTTTTCCCATAATGAATAATAGGAAATTCTGTCCATTTGGTTAAAAAATTAAATAAAAATGCACAGAATTTTGGCAGAAACTGTGGTGATCAAAAAGTTAAAGCATCCAAACAAAACATTGTTTTCTTCCCTGTTGACGAATACCTGAAATAACCCAACATTAACTTTTTGTGTTCCAGATGATCATGTCCCTGTAATAAACAAATCTGAGGGATTGCGCTTATCTGGATTAGCTGCACCATTGAAAAAGGATTTGAACCGATGGCTTGAAGATCATCCAGCTTACTCTGTTGATTATCCAACTCAGCCCATCTCTGTGTCACATGGTGTGGATGGCGATGACAAGAAACTAAAAAAGAAGAGAAAAAGGCAAATAAATCCATCTAAGTTGGATATTAATAAAATAACTGGTGACGAGAAAGTTGCTGTAATTAATAGACATAATGGAAGAAAGATTCCAGGTAACAAAGCTCCGTCACTGTCTGTTCTCAGTGATTGGCTGGAGAGAAATCCAGAATATGATGTACCTACTGACTGGGCTGCCATTGTAATGCACAAGGTATGTATTTCTTTTTTCAAGATGAATTAGTAAAAATCACATCTATGTGAGTGTTTTACTTTCTATTCTCGATTATCAAATTCAACAAAACTTATAGGCCAGTTTAAATTCTGTACACCAAGATGGTATTTTCGCTGACTGCTATTCATGATTTTCCCATCGTCCATAGGAGTCCGTGTATTGTGGAATAAGAGAATCCTCTACATTGTAGATTATGGGAATGATGGTAAAATTGATTCTGCTAACAACCAGACCTTAAAAGTCAGCAAAGTTGGGCCCAAGCGAGAGGGCCACAATCCTTGTTTTCCTTCTCAAATGGCGTTCCATTCTGTTCTATTATGTGGTGTCCACTGTGCCTCCTGTCTATATAACAATGGTACTTGGAACAGTGAATGAAATTCCATTTGAAGTGCAAAAACCAGTCTGGTGGCTGTCATTTGCTTTGAGATTTCATCTGCCATTTTTCTCTGTCTGTTGCAGTATTGTATTAATTGCTGATTTATTAACACAAGTTTTAAGCCATTCTCGCTAACAAATGGATTGTGGAGAGCATAGAATAAAGTTCTGATTTGGGCTAATGAGTGAAATGTCTTTATTTTCTCAGGGTTATTTATCTGCCAAGCTGTCCAATAGAATACAGCCTGCTGTGAATAAAGGAGGAACACTTATCCAACCGGCTACATTTCTTTCATCTGGGGATAGTTCGTTATCTCTTCCAGCATTGTCAGGATTTCCTTCTGGTTTCCTCCCAGGTGGAAAATTTCCGTTAGGCCCAGGATTTCCTAACCTCGGAGTTACACCTTTTGGAATTAATCCATTACTTGGTTTGGCTGGATTTGGAGCCCTGCCATCTTTTCAAATACCAAACGTTAAAGATCCCTCGCTCAGAGATGTGGATGACGATGAAGAAGATGACAAAAGTGATGATGACAAGTTATCTGGGAATAGTCAGGCTGCTGGCAGTGCAGCTGCAACATCAACTTCTAAAACAATGCCATATCTTTTCCCATCTCAATCAGGGCTGTTTTACTCTCCTTTCATTACACCACCGGGGTTTCTCAACCCAGCCACTTTAGCATCTGCTGGAACAATAAATGGTGTTACAACATCTAATAGTGTTGATATTTTGTCATATAATTCAAAAGTCATGAAAGACCCAAAAGTTGTCGCTCAAAAACCATTGATCAAACCAACTTCAGCTGGTATTAGCGGTGGTGACCATGACAGTGATTTAGGAGCAAACATAGAAGACATTCCAGATAATGAACTTGTTGATGACGAGGACGACGATGACAACGATGACAACGATAACGCAGGGGACAGTTTTAAATTCGACGATGACTTTGATGAAGCCAATGAAGCTTTATAATTGATGCTGAGAGTACATGATAATTTCAATAAACATTCCACTCCTCTTGAATTATTTCTAATGTCTATTAACTTACAAGTGCCTGATATTGGTACGTATCTATTGAGAAAGTCTTTCATCTCTACACTGGTTTTATTTCCATGTACAAGGCCCTAGATTACATTGTTTGATTTGTACATATGTGACTTCACTGCCAATCACATGTAATAAGAGTTATTGTTGCTTTTTTTGTTGTCTCTGTTCATAGGTTCTTGCATAGATTTCAGAACTTGTAAATCAAATTACTGCTAGTTGGTATCTTGTTGTTCTCCTCCCTCGCCCCCTTCCAAAATAACAGATTGTTAAAATGAACTGAACGTTTGTATAGCTTGGTTCTCAGATGACACTGTCGCATCAGAGCTGCTGAATTTTGACTGTCAAATGTGCTGCTCATTAATTAAAATACTTTAGAGTAGTTGTAAAGATTTTCGGAAGCAATACAAGTATTTACTAAAACATGCTTCAAAATAAAACCTGTAACGATGTGTAAATAATAGCTATACTATAGACAGGTTATATATGCTGATATAAACTTTGCAGTTAGCTAGTTTGCTAACTTTTGTTCAGCGAGTTGTTTCAAACGGTTCGTAAATTTACTGCAGATTGTTGTGTTCCTTCACCCCTTTCCTTATTTTCTTCCCTCCCTCCCTCCCCCATTCTGTTCTTCCCTCCCTTTCCCTTCCCAAGTTTTTGTGCAAGTTTTAATTTGTGAAAATTGTATAGCCCAAAGTTGTGCTGTTTTAAATACAACAGCCGTAATATATATATACACACACAAACACCAAAAAAGGTCATTTACTGGTTCAGTCATTTATATTTATTACATTGATCACATTATGCAAGAATTTCATAGATTTTGGATAAAAGCTTTCAGGGACAAGGATATGCAAATAAATATTTGTAATTTGCAAAAAAAAAATGAACATGTAATTTTTTTGGCAAATCAATTGGTCATTTTTAAGTGAAATTTGTAATTGGGTATGTAGCACTAAAGGGTTTGAGTTCTCTAAGTTTCCGCCATTGGGAGCAAAAATTAGTTTTTACGAATATTTACAGCTTGAGCAGCAACAACTGCCCTATGTACAGTTTAAGTATTGTCAAAACAAAAGTTATTCGACTTTTATTAGTTGTATTTTTTAATTGAAGTGATAACGGTATAGTTTATCAATGTTGTATAAATTGAAATATTTTGTTTGTGGAAATAATTTTGCTTTCAAGATTGAGTGTTATGTTTTACTGAGGGAGACCTGTGAATAGAGATTTATATTCTTGGTGTCTCGCCACAGTAGTGAAAATTTGTTGATACAATATTGGTGCTTTTCATTGCCAACATGTTGGGAAAACGACCTTGTTTTCAGTATCAGATATTTTAAGACAAGATCGAACGGTGACGGAACACCCAAATAGTGTTAATCAAACTTCAGTTTGTGTGCTTTATCTTTTTGAAATGAGAAATAATTTGTGTGTATTTATTTATTTTCTTTCTGGATTTGTGCATTTGAATTGTTTTATTAATGGTGATACAAGTGGGAGCCCTTTTGTCAAGCTGTTTTTTATCTGTTGACAGATTTGGTTTGTTTCCACTAAATTAAGTGTCCATGGGTACTTTTTTGATCAGATGTATTTATTAAATTCCACAGTTATGAAGGGAGAGAAATGTAATTGATTTTTTTTCTATGACAGTAAATACAATACTGTTTCAGTTTTCAGTTGTTTGTGATGTATGAATTGTTTGCAGCTCTGCTGTGCAATGACTATTCCTTTCTGACCTGTAATGTGTGTATGCTTTAAGGAGTATCATATAAAAAGAAAGTATACCAACAATGTTATGGTTACTTGCAGTACTGTATTTATTGTCAGAAACGGAAAGATTCAGCAAGCAGTTGCTTTGTCCTATGTACAGCGCTCAACTTAATTTAATACATAAATACGATGATCTGTTGTACATTATTTTCTTGTCATGGATAATTCAATACTATACAAGTACGACTTGAGTAGGTTATTTTTAATGAACCACAAAATCCCAGTTACCTCAAATGTTGAAAGCTCTCCCTGCTGTGGTTTCAGTCAGTTTAGCCAAATTTTTCAATTGAGTAAATCTCTATCTTTAGTCAAATCCAAATGTTCTACCTTGGCTGTCTTATTGAAGAAATTAGATGTCCGGTATGTACTAAAACGTGAAGTGTACAAATATGCGAGCTATACTGGTAATGCATGCTAGTTGCACTTGTAGCTAACAATATGCCTATGAAA